ACAGAGCGTGAGCAGGGGAGGGCCAGAGAGAGACAGAGACACAGAGCTGGCTCCAGGCTCTGAGCTGTCAGCACAGAGCCCGACCCGGGGCTCGAACTCCTGAACCGTGAGACCACGACCTGAGCCGATGTGGGACACTCAACCGACTGCGCCACCCAGGCGCCCCAAAGGATTTTTTTTTTTAAACAGGTTTGAAAATTCCGTTTCCAAGTTTTTAGTTTACACACACGGGAGAGTTGCTACACGTGACGTAGGTACATCATTTTCTATCCCCCAAATCACAGAACAATGGAAATATGTGCGAATGTTTTTTAAATGCTCTCTCCATAGCATGAGTTTCTTCCAGGAAGCAGTTTACTTTCCAATCATTGTTTGCATAGCAAACAAAAGGTCTTTGCAGATGTAATTAAGCTAAGGATCTTGAGGTGAGACCATCCTGGATTGCTGGATGGACTCTAAATCCAATGATAGGTGTCCTTACAAGAGGCAGAAGAGGGGCACCTGGGTGGCTCAGTTGGTTGAGCATCTGACTCTTGATTTCAGCCCAGGTCATGATCCCACGGTCATGGGATTGAGCCCCTCGGCAGGCTCCACACTGAGTGTAGAGCCTGCTTGGGATTCTCCCTCTTTCTCTCTCTCTCTCTCTCTCTCTCTCCCCCTCTGCCTCTCTTCCCCACTCATGCTCTCTCTCTAAAATAAAATGATAAAATAAAAAATAAAAAAATAAACATTCTCATGCTTTCTCTTAAAAAAAAAAAAAAGTCAAAGAGAAGACACATAAACAGAGAGAAGAGAAGGCCCTGTGAGGACAAACAAAATGTGTGTGTGTGTGTGTGTGTGTGTGTGTGTGTGTGTGCACGCACACGTTACTTTCAAAATATCTGTTACCCAAGGGGTGCCTGGGTGGCTCAGTCAGGTGAGCGTCCAACTTCAACTCAGGTCATGATCTCCTGTCTCGTGGGTTCGAGTCCCGCGTCGGGCTCTGTGCTGACAGCTCAGAGCCTGGAGCCTGCTTCGGATTCTGTGTCTCCCTCTCTCTCTGCCCCTCCCCCGCTCTCTCCCCCACCCTCTCTCTCTCTCTCTCAAAAATAAATAAACATTAAAAAAATTTTCGGGGGCGGGGGGCGGCACCTGAGTGGCTCAGTCGGTTAAGCATCCAACTTCGACTCAGGTCATGATCTCATGGTTCATGAGTTCAAGCCCCACATTGGGCTCTGTGCTGACAGCTCGGAGCCTGGAGCCGGCTTCAGATTCTGTGTCTCATTCTCTCTCTGCCCCTCCCCCACTCGCACTCTGTCTCTCTCTGTCTCTCAAAAATAAATAAAAATGTAAAAAAAAGAAAAAAAAATTTTTTTTTAATATTTGTTACCCAAAAGCAATGTAGTATCCCGGATTAGAGTCTAGAACAGAAAAAAGACATTAGTGGACAAACTGGTGAAATCCAAACAAAGTCTGGCATTTTGTTAATAGTCATGTACCAGTGTTAATTTTTTAGTTTTGACAAACGTACCTTGGTTCTGTAAGAAGTTATATTATCGGAGACCCGGAAAATAGTATGCAAGGATGCTCTGTACTTACTATCTTTGAAACTGTGCCGTAAATTTAAAATAATTTCAAATTTTAAAGTTTATTTTAACATTTTTGGTTGTATCACATAGTATTGACAGCCGGTTGTCATTACAAAAATAGTAGGCAAGTCTGAAACACTTCTTTTTCTATAGAAGAAAAATGCAGAACTCATCTTGAAGTTCCCCATCTCATTAAAGTATTTTGCCACAAGATAACCATCAAATCTCTGTATCTCATTACAAAATAATCAAATCTCTATGCCCTCGTTGCAAAACACTATAAGGATTCTACTATATATTAAAGATCTTTTTATAATATGAGCCACATCAATGGCGTCCTTTATCATTGTGTGCACCACATCAATGGCGTCCTTTATCATTGTGTGCACTGCTGGCCTCAGATTTCTTTGCTTCAACAGCGAGCCTTTGAGTCACTTGCATGTTCGGAGCAAATCTCTGTAACTTCAACCTGGAATCATGTTTTGTAGTTAAAGCATCCACTCTATCAATAGTTATATTTATAATGTTTTCCCTTAAAACAGTGCTTTTATTATTTATTTTAAATTGTTTTAGAGAGAGGGAGAGCATGAGTGGGACAGGGGGAGAGAGAGAGAGAGAGAGAGAGAGAGAGGGAGGGAGAGAGAGTCCCAAATAGGCTCCACACTCAACAAGGATCCCAGTGCAGGGCTCGATCCCACAACCCTGGGATCATGACCTGAGCTGAAATCAAGAGTCAGACACCCCACCAGATGAGCCACCCAGGCGCCCCGAAACAGTCGTTGGTTATTGAAATGATATCTCCCTGGTACGCCTCTTTTTTTTTTATTTTTTTTTCAACGTTTATTTATTTTTG